AAGTGAGATCAGAAAAATATTCTCTTTCAAAAATACAGCATAGTCTAGACATACCCTTAGTTCTTAGGTAGTATAGTTCTTGCTCTTTGGACCATGTTTTTGACGATTAGGTGACAACAATAATTTGGTATTCACCAACTCTTAAAAAGTCTTCTATAATTTAAAATATTCTCTCTTAGTGGTCTCCAGTCTTTTTAAGCATGAGATCACTTTTTGAATTTAAGTGCAATCCAAGATCCACCTCACACCCAAATATCCTTGCCCACCTACTTTGTGTCCCTTCTCTGAGGCCCCACCCCCTGCTCACTCTGTCCTCCCTCGCTTTCAGCAGGCCGGGGCAGAGGGTTGGGGTGCACGCTATGGTCTTGGATTAAGGGATTTGGAGCGTGAAGGGCTCTGAACTGAGCCATTGCAGTGCTGGAGGGGTTCTAGGTGTAGGCTCTGGGAGGGTGCAGGGGGTGCTTGGGGCTAGGGCAGGAGCTTGGGGTGCAGGAGAGGGTTCATGACTGGGGTACGAGTTCGAGATGTGTTCTCCAGCTGGGCACTGCTTACCTCAGGTGTCTCCTTGGTGGTGCATATGGGGGCTAAGTGGGCTTACCCTTGGCCTGGCCTGGCCTGGCACCACTCCCAAAAGCAGCCAGCAAACTCCCTCCATCCCAAGCCCTGCTGTGCCCCCTCTCCGCTTTGTGGAGACAGGATACAGAGTGAGAGTGGGGCACCCTGACATTAGTACCCTCCTCTCCTTTCCCTGCACAGCACAGTAGGCAGGAGGCTCGCTCCTGAGGACAGCTCCAAGACAAAGGGCAGGAGATATGCAGCAGTGGAGGAAGGGTCAGCTGAAGTACTGATGCTTGATAGCTTCTTGGCCAATTGGAAGAAAGCCATTGGGTTTCAATTATCACAGTGTGAGCCAATTCCAATTGAGAAAGTTTGTATTGAGTGTACAGTGCGGCACTTCAAGATAACTTGTAATTTCTTATTTGCTTTAGTGAAACATTGAGAGTCAGTTTTAACTGCTGTATTATATAGCTCTTGGGACTTCCTTGTTGCGAAGATCTGGAATTCTAGGGTGTGATGTGTGTTAAAACCCACAATAGAGGCAGTTCAGAGGTTGTAAACAATCCATACACATTTTGTGAAATATTTAAAAACAGTTTTTAAAAAATTGCTGTGTTAGAATACAGCCTGGTGTAGTTGGAGAAAAACAGACTTTAAACAAAACTGCCCAAAGTATTACAAAATAGAGTGAGATTTTTTTATCTGAATTTCCCCTGCCCATGACTTCTCCAAAATGATTCCTGTTTTGTTGAATAGCTACCAAGTGGAAGCAGTACTTCAGCATCTTTCCTGAAGAGGCCTGAATCTTTAGACATTTGAAGCTGACACTTCTCGTGGTTTTGATTTCTGTTCGTTTTGAGCAAATTAGTTCCTTGTGTAAACAAGACTGTTAAATTCCAAAATGGATATTGAAGGTTTGTTCCAGGAAATGCCGAGGGCAAGATGGAAGGGAAAAGAGGGGAATGTGCTTTCACACTTTTAACATAAGGATTTTTCCCCTCTTTCCTGCTTCCTTGAGACATTTTCCCCGAATAATTCAAGGATTGTACAATGGTGTAAGAAGCACTTACTGAATATGTCTTGTTTTTCAGGTCTGGTGGATGAGCAGCAGAAAGTGCGTACTATTAGTGCTTTGGCTATTGCTGCTTTGGCTGAGGCAGCCACTCCTTATGGTATTGAATCATTTGACTCCGTTCTAAAGCCCTTGTGGAAGGGTATACGTCAGCACAGAGGAAAGGTGTGTGTCTACAATCTGTTTCTTTTCATCTCTCTATTTTCAATATAGTCTGCAGTATGTGTTATAATACCTATGACAAATATTATGTATTAAAATAGGGTCTGGCTGCCTTTTTGAAAGCTATTGGGTACCTTATCCCTCTTATGGATGCTGAGTATGCCAACTACTATACCAGAGAAGTAATGCTAATCCTTATCAGAGAGTTCCAGTCTCCGGATGAAGAAATGAAAAAAATTGTATTAAAGGTATGTCAAAATCACTTAAACACTGTCAGTGTAATGTTTAAAGTGAACTTGATACTATTTGTAATGTGGATTAATAAAAAAAAAATCCTGTAATAAGCATTTTCCTAAAAAAAATTGGTTTACAGCATTAACTGTTGTACTTCTCTTCCCTGCTAGGTAGTAAAGCAGTGTTGTGGTACAGATGGTGTTGAAGCAAACTACATTAAAACAGAGATTCTGCCACCGTTTTTCAAACACTTTTGGCAGCACAGAATGGCACTGGACAGAAGAAATTACAGACAGGTATAGTTTCTTTTGGAAATAATTTTGATTTGCTTTTTGAATTAAATTTATAAAGTGGAATGTAGAGAGATGTTTGGTGGTAGTGAATTTATTTTTGACTTCCTCAGTGTATCTTGAGATGGAGTTCAGTGTAGGCAGAGACATTTTTGACATGTGGATAGATTAAAAGTCTCAGCATTCTTAAATGGGATACAAAACATTTTTGTCTCTAGATTAGTACAGTTTGAACCTCTCAAGTCCAGAACACTCTGATCTGGAAACATCTGTCCCCCAGAATGATTTTAGTTAACCAGATGTCCTCTTTTTATGGGTGTGACAGTTTCCCACAGTCCCATAAAGTTTGTTTACAGCTCCCAGTTCTAGCTTTCGGTGTTCGGTGCTGCTGTTTAGCACTAATATACCGTTAAATGTCCTCTAATAGCCCTGTAAGTAGTGGAAGTGTTATGTTGATAGATAATGTTGACCTTCTGTGGCCTCGAAAATTCTCTAGTTTGGACCTGGTTTGGTTCCAAGGGTGCCGGACTAGAGCGGTTC